GGCATTCCAAAAAGTGTATTTTTTTTTAGCTTTTCTGGAACAGGATAAAACGGAGTTAGCAGGTCCGAAAATTGTGTTTTGGAAAATTGTGTTTTAAGAACTCCGAATTTGTATGTACGTAGTATATTTATATTTTTTCATTTGTTGATAGATCTCAGAGCACTACCAAAAGGATTTTGGGGCTAAACTTACCTCAATTTTTACTTTCTTATTAGTTTTATTTAATGATTGTTTTTCTCTTTTCAACGATTTTTACTTTCCTATTTTTTTGTGATTGTTTTTTTTACCTCAATTGTTTTTATTACTTTCTTATTTTTCTCTTCATTCAACATAATTAAAAACCGTACAATATTTGTCGTTTAAATTGAATATGCGTTTGTCTCCCGAATTTCGATCAAAATACATTGATGGATGGTCTACCCGGGGGTATCTTATTCGTGGGGTTATTGCAGGAATAATTAGAGAGAAGTCAGAGCAAAATAGGAGGAGAGAGAGTCGATTTTATTAAATGAACTCAGCGTGTCCTTACAAGGAGAAATGAGCTGCTATTTATAGCAGCAATAAATGCGATGAGAGTACACTTGTCAGTAATCCAACGGTCGAGGGGTCACATCAATCGGGGTGGCACCGACAGTGGCATGTTCACCGCATTGAATGCGGTTGGTGGATGTGACGTTGCATTCAATGCGGTGGTTGGCTGTCTCCAAAGGGAATCTTTGATGATTGAGCCTGTTTGGCCGAAGGCTCCTCGCGTAGCCGAAGGCTTCATGTGGCCGAAGGCTCTGTGCGGCCAAAGGCTTGGTTCGGCCGAAGGCTTCTCTGATGCCGAGGGCTCAACAGTGCCGAAGGCTCCTGTTTTCCGCTGTTTTCTCCCAGTAACTTTGTATGCCAAAAAAGTTCATGTTGTGAGTTCTGGAGCCTTCGGAAAAGGTGGCCGAAGCCCCCCCCCCCCCCCCCCCCCCGTGTGTACCTCGGGCTTCCTTGAACTTGGGCCACCGTATTTGGGCTTCGGATGCTCCTTGGACTTAATGGGCCTTTGTGGGAGAAGTAGGAGTCTATGGGTCGGGGGTTCCTGGGCCATATACTCCATCATACATGTTTATACATGTTTTACAGAGATTAGTTGCAGAGTGGGTGAGTATGTATTCAGAGATACTTTGTTTGACTTAGAATATCTTTATCGATAAATTATTTTTATATCTGACTAAAGACATTATTGAGGTGGTTGGAAATAATGAGGTTAGTTGCGAAGTGAGTATGTATTCAGAGATATTTTATTTGACTTATAATATTTATATCAGATAAAGTATTTTTTATCCGATTAGAGACATTATTGAGGTGTCCACTATTATTTTAACAGTAAAACTATTACGGAGTACTATATTTTGATGTGTCCACTATTATTTTATAACTACTTAAATAGTAATATTAATTTATATATTTACCAATATTTTTTTTTGCAAAATATTTACCAATATTATTACCAATATTTTTTCAATCACATCATTTATATTATTGGCAAGAACAAGAATAAATAACAATGTAATGTAATTTTATTATTCATTTACCATTTATTCGGTAAGTTTTTATTATTCATTTACCATTTTACCCTCCCGTCACTTCATTGAATTATGTCAAATTGAGAGGATACTCCGTTTTAGTACACTACAATGGTTTTATTGATCACTACTGATTTACCATTTCTACTAAAACTACCCCTTTTATTATACCCATTTTAGTGCTACAGTTTTTAATCGTCCAAGAGCATTTTTGAAAGACTAACTTTATTTCATATTCTACCTATAAACTCATGAAGTCAAACTATGAATTTCATTTTGGGATGGACGAACTACTCAAAAAATAAAATAACTACTAACAATCAATAATTTCTAAGACCATTAACTTAAATATACTAATATTCATACGCTTTTCTTAGATATATTAAACTAATAAAATAAAGACATACACTTGTTAATGAAATATAGTAAACATTATTAATAGTTTAATACTAATATACGTAGTATGCAATGTAATTATAAGTTATACTTCCTCCGTTCTTAAATAAATGCAACAGTCAACATTTCACATTTGCCGAGACACAACTTTGACCATTAATATATATAATTCCCGATTAGTAAAAAACGTTTAAAAAATAGATTCTGAAAATTTATAATGAGAAAAATTTAACAATATTTTTTTCAAAAATATACTTCGTATATTATTACATTAATAAATAAAACGTAGTCAAAGTAGAACATGTGAATAGTGCAAAAAGTCCAACGTTGCATTTAAAAGAGAACGGAGGTAGTACGTAGTAATAAGGAGTATTAACAACTGGGATGAGCAGCTCACACTTTGGAATGAATTCGGAGTTGGCAGATCCGAAAATAAAAAAATCCGTTTTACTCTTTTCTGTCAAAAGAATGGGATGTGCACTATATGGAAACACCTGCTCAAAAATTACCCTGTTTCGTCATTCACTCGATTGTGCAATCACTCGAACTAACCTCGAGGCCAGATGATCATCCCTAAAAAGAGTGTCAAATTCTTCTCCTTGAAGTCAAAATTGTCCGCAAGAGAAGAATTTAATTGTGGAAATAATTGTCCAATTAAACTGCTCCCACTTGTGTTAAAAAATTCTTTAATTATACCACATGATGGTCATGTTAAACAAGTTAGACACAAATAATGGATACATCAGCAGATTGTACTACTCGGACAAGATGGGTCATGAGAAATGAACCAGTCTTTTCAAGCATCTCAAAACATAAATTAGACTAACTGTTGCTCATGTGACTACTCCATTGCTAATGAGCATTCATCTAGTGCAAGACAGTTAAGCATAGTTTACTGTCAGATCATTCCCTTTAATTATTCCTTTAGATTAATAGATCAGATGTATATATTGAATGTAGGGGACTTCTTGATCCATCATACACTCGTGGAATCGGCATTGATACTAGCAAATTGCACATTGTGAGTGCAAATGGACTATGGGGTTGTTTGGATATAATTTTTAAAATTGCTCATGCATACTCCTTCAAAGAGCAAAAGCAAAAATTAGAGTGTTTGGGTAAAAGTATAGAAGTACTTCTGGTGCTCTAATTTACTTCCAGAAGCAGTTTTTTAGAAGTTGGGGGAGACCAACTTCTAAAAACTGATTCTGATTCTGATTCTTCTTTAAAAAGGAAGCGAAAGTAGAATCAGTTCCAAACATCCCCTATATATCCTTCTCCCGGTTGCTTCTGCATAGGATATTCACCAAGCACATACGTTTACAGAAATAAGTTACTCTCCCACAGTCCCACTGCCTCTAACACATCCAACACTTAGCAACTTATCATTTAAGTTTGTTTTAACACATGAGTATATATTTCTGTCCAAAATAATTTAAAGTTAGATACTACTCCCTCCGTCCCAATATAAAAGTTTCATTTGCGTTTGGGGAGTTTTTAAGGGTGAACACTGTTTGAACACTGTTTGACACTGTTTAGACACTGTTTGGCACTGTTTGGACACTGTTTGGCACTGTTTTGCACTGTTTTGTTTGCCAAAAAGGGAAATGTGCCTTTTATATTGGGACGGACCGAAAAGGAAAGTGTGTCTTTTATATTGGGACGGAGGGAGTATAACGGTTAACTATAACCCTTTCCTCAATAATTTATTACTAATAAAATTATTTTAAACACCTCTTTTCTTCCAAATGAATAATGAATCATAATCCTGTTTTTCATATTTTGTTCCATTTCACAAAATATTTTCTCATAAGATTTGTGTGATTTTAAATCGTTCTTAGTTTATTCTTACCTTGCCAATTTAATGTCAACCATGTAAATTCATGTACTTTTCTTAATAACAAGTGCACAACATCCTCATTTACCATTATTGCCCAAAAAACATCTTCATCTACCAGACTAGTTTTTTTTGGCGAATTAGCACTCTCCAACGAAAAGAACAACTCACAATAAGTTATTTGCTCTAAAATTAGAAGTCCTAAATTAGTAGAACTCTATCTAATTTTAGAACTTCTAAAATTAGAATTTAGAAGTCCTAAATTATAAGTCTGGCAGGAATTGTTAGTAGAACTTCGAATTCAACCTGTAGCGCTAATTTTACTAAATTAGCAAGTCAAATGTCATCTTTATCAGTAGATAGTAGTCCTTATGAAATAGTTTGACACAAGGTAAGCATTTTAAAATAACATTCATGCAGCCGAATGATGAGGTTTGCCAATATTAGTATAAATGTGATATTTGTGTTGGAAAAATGTGTTAAAAATTGCATTGAATGGTCAATTTGTGGCAATGAAAAATTATATTGATTCTTGAAGTTCACTCGTTGAAATGGAAAAATGATAGGTTTCTAGTGTGATATTTCTCACACCGGTAAACCAAGGGATTTTCATCCTTTATAAAGTAAACCCTCTTTGAAAGAGTTAAGATTCTTAGGTGGAAAGGTTCTCTTCGCGTGCGCAAGGGGGTGCCAATCAAATCCTGAAAATGGAGAAGAAAAACCGCGGCGTGCGTGTGCGGGCGACAGGCGGACACGAATGTCGTCCGAAAATCTATCTTTCAAGGTTACGATTTAATTTTTTCTCATCAGAAATGTTCGGACTAGAACCCTTCTGCTCCGCACCAGCAGGCTTCTGGATAAGGATTCTTCTATTCCGGGACTAGAACTCTCTGGTTCGCTTCTGAAATGTTACAACAGTTATTGTCCAACGCTCTTCTCCTTTAACGCACCTTAAACCTAACAGACAGTTTTTGGGCGAATTGATGGTAACGTTCTGATCATATTCATGTCCAACGCTTCCACTAAAGCACACTTAACACACAACAAATTCGTCCCAATATATATCTGGTGTTTTGCAACAACACATCTCACCACACAGTTTGCACAAAAGTTTTCAGCTAAAACTCACCTCCAGCTTCAAAAGAAATGTTTAGTGTTGTGCGATTTACTCATGGACGATTCTGTCCGGGATTTCATATGATAATGTTGTGGGGATTTCATATGATCATGTTGTGAATTATTGACAACAATAATGAGATGTGGAGCTTGGTACATCGAATTGACAAGACATAATGGGAATATATATATGTACATACTACGTACGTACGTATTAAAAGACTAAGTAACTAATGAGGAAATGCCTGCCTGCCTAAATAACACCGTCCTTACAAGCTGCCAAAATGATAACCGACATACTATTATATAGAAACATACATACAGCTAATTAACATACACAGGAAGGAAAATAACAAAGAAACAAAACAAACAAATCTACTACATACGTAACATCGACTAGCAACTTAATTAATTAGCTTAATGATGATTATCGAGCCAAACAAAACAAAAGATCGAGAGAGCCGATCGAGCTTAGCTCAGTAATTAACCAATTGCTTAGCTTGGGATGTGTAATTATTGTAACAATAATATTATTATTAGAACGTAACGTCCGGCGGCTAGCTTAGCTTCAAGGGGACTTGAACTAAACATGAATGTGCTTATGGGACTGCATGATCGGAATATTGTGACGGGAACATGACCGGCCACCTCGCCGGCCAGCGGAACCACCGGCAAGTTGTCGCAGTTGCAGATCTCGATCATGAATCCGTCGGGGTCGTGGAAGAACAGCTGGTCCACGTAGATTCCTCCTTCTTCCACCCTTTGCCTCACGTACTTGATTTCCATCTCTTTCAGCTTCTTCTCCACTCCGTCCATGTTCTCACACTGACCCCATCCCACACCCAATATAACCAATGTAATTATTAGCACCATTAAAATTCATTATGTTTGTACAATATGATGTACATGTTTTGTACACAATTTCAAATGTTTATATCGACAATACTATTCAAATTTCTGATCAAAATATATATTCTATTTAGCGGCCGAATTCAATGTAGATCGGAGTTCACCATACACTGATGACCGACATAGATAAAAGTAATGCAAATAAAGTGAACTCTACACATGAAATTCCGGCTGTATTTTTTAACCGAAATTCAACAATATTACGGAGTAATATTTAAAGTAGTACGAAGTACTCCCTCCATCCCAATTTGATGATCTCTTATTCTGGGCCGTCCCAAATTGATAGTCCCATTTCTCTTTTTGGAAAGAAATATGTGGTCCACATCATTTCACCTTTTTCTACTCAAATCTCAACCATAACTTTTACCTTTTTAACCACTTCATTAATCTTTGAGCCCAAAAGAAACGGGATCATCAAATTGGGACGGAGGGAGTATTACACAAATTGTCTAAAGAGAAAAATAATTGAAATATCCTAAACTTTGAAGGGGTGTGAGATAAACACTTCAAACTTTCATATATAATTTAAATATATATGAAAGATAAAAAGGTATTTAACACCATGGTCGTGTATCATTTGTTTCAAAAATGTAAATTTATGATGTTAGTTGCATAATTTAAATTAGCAAATTCAAAACGTTGCAATTATATAAAGTGGGGGATACTAATATTTATTTTACAATGTAAGTTTAGGATGCTAATTGTATCTTCATGAATGATAAATTATTTTAAATTATGAAATTAACATAAAAAATTAACATTTTTTAAAAAAAATAGCATATGACCATGGTGCTAAAATAATTTTTTATATAAAATTTGGGATATTCAAATTACATATGCAAGTTTGGAGTGCTTACCTCACACCTCTTCAAAGTTTGGAGTATTTTAATTATTTTCCCCTGTCTAAAAGACTTGAAAATATGGGTAGTTAAAAGTATTAGTATCTCCTTCGATTCTTAGTTTTCCTTGTTAACTCTGCCCTTTTTTTTATGGTTTTTAACTCTGCCCTTATTAAGCCGAAGTCATCATATTGGTCATTCATGTAATTTTCATATTTGAATACTTTATTCTCACCTTACAATTCAATAAGGATTACTACGTACATAATTCAATTATTCTTACTAATTGTGTCATTATCTCATGTTTCGATTTTAGTGGACAAAACATAGAGTTACTAATTGTGTCATTATCTCATGTTTCGATTTGGTCATTCCTGTAATTTTCATATTTGAATACTTTATTCTCACCTTACAATTCAATAAGGATTACTACGTACATAATTCAATTATTCTTACTAATTGTGTCATTATCTCATGTTTCGATTTTAGTGCTAAAATTGATTGTCTTAATAAAAAAGAAAATGACAAGCAAATTATGTAGATTTGTAAACCACATATATGAAGAAGAAAAAACTTTTACAAAAATAGGAGAAATAAATTGACTTTAAATCATAATGCTCCACCTAGCACTTACAATAGTTACCAGGATTTGAGCTTCACGTACTCCACCTACCATTAACCTACATCCTCGACATCAGCCTCAATATCACAGTTCATCTCAAGTACGCATGCATTATAAGGTTTTTGTTTTTTCTCTCTAAGATCGAATATTTATGTAAAGCAAATTGTAAATGCGCAATATCAGGAAAGATGAAATGCTTGCATTATTAGAGTCCATTTTTGTTCATCTAACCTATTATATTATTTGTTCCGTTAAAGCCAACATCATTGAACTGGGATGAGATTCGAATCACTGACATACTCTTTGGAAGTGTCACAACAATGATGTCATCAAACTTATTAGAGTCCCTTTAGTAACTCTTTTCTATTTATCCCTTTTCTTTCTCAAAAAAAAAATACGAAGTATACTCTACTATCCTAAAAGTATAAAATTATCTTAAATTAATGAATTTTAGATAAATGTACGAAGTATTAGTTAAGTAATTGGTCAAAGTTTATAATCATAATTTCATCTGAGAAAATATACGGAGTATTAGATGAATATATAACTTCTAAATTATTAATATATACATATATAGTGTATATATATGATCAAAAACAAGTTTAATTTTATGATTTTATAGTTGTGAACTATATATCGTAAATTGCACAAAGAAAAACTCAAATGAGAGGGAAGTGAGTAGTATTTATTTTTAGGAGTGAATGGTCATGTGTTCATGCAAAAAAGTGATGTACTTTGTTTAATTTGTGTGTTAAGTACATAGTACTCCGTATATTGTAGTTATGTTTCTGAAATTAGTATTTTTAAAGGAAAAGGTAAAACTTAATTAGCTATAAACTGGGGAATGGGACTCCCTTGAAATGAAGAATATAAGTGCCGGAATACCTGGAACGAGATGTGATTGTCCTTGGGATTGATTACATTTTTCTTAGGCAAATTCTCCGGGTCTTCGGATTGAAGCAAATGGATTCCGATTCCATAGCAGAACAGCCTGCATGGCCATTTATTAATTCCTATCAATTCAATTGCATTCTAATTTGAAATATAACGTAATTAGAGTGTCACCATTTATTTAGTTTTTATAATTTCATGAAGTTCTTTGTGTTTTTTCTTTAGACGAAATAAGTCCTATTTTAAACTCTTTTGGAACTCTTTAAAAAGTTGTTTCCCCTGTTTCACTGAACATAGGTTTAAAATTTAGTTTATACTCCCTCCGTCTCTAAGAAATTCAAGATTTCTTTTTTAGCAATCCCAAAAAGAAATTCCACTTTCTTTAAATGGAGAGTTATCTACATCAAAACAGTGCAAAACAGTGTCAAAACAGTAAAATTTATTTTCTTAATATGTGTGTAAGTCAAACTCGGAACTTCTTAACGGAAGGGAAGGTAGTATTCTACTCTAATTTTACCAATTTCTTTTATAAGTAATGAAAAACTGTTGCCAAAAAACTGGTTTTCAGAGAGGAGGATGAGAATATAGACCAGGCCCCATCGAAATTGAAAGAACCAGGCCTTCGCACAGGGACAAAACCCAGGATGTTCTGGTAGAAGTCGATGGATTCCTCCACTGATTTGCAGATGAGAGAGATGTGGTTGAGAGACGTCAAGGCCAAAGGGTTCCCAGTATTTTCCTTCATCTCTTTCGCTTTCTTCTTCTTCTTTCTGCTGATCTTTCCGAACCTAAATAATGATCTTAATTAGCTGAGAGGAGAGGAGTTTCAAAGAAGAACAAGTGGATGGGGGTTGATTGATGGATGAATGCACCTAACAAGGAGGAAATAGGGGGTAATAATATAGGAGGGAGGGTGGGGGTGGTCTACGTGTCAGTTATTGGATTGGCTTACACGTAGATCCCACGTTGCCAGCTGACTCAGTTCCTCTCCATAAATGCTTGAACTATCTCGTGCCGTTGGTACGGCGGTGTATTACATTTTGGGTATGTTTGTCAAATGACTTATCAGTCAGCTTTTAGCTTGTTTGATCCATTTTAGTTGTGTTGAGTTTAATCCAACACGATATAGTAAATATATGTATGAACACTCAGTTTTTACGTGGAAACCCGAAAGGGAGAAAACCACGGGACTTTTTAGGCTAATGCCCAAGCCCTCTCTTTCTCATTAGGACTCTCCTCACAATTACATTGTACAAGCTCCCATTCATGGGGTATTTGAGCTAAGTCTAAAAGAAAGGAGGAAGGAGAGCTAAAAAGGGATCCCCAAAACATGGAGGGAAGCCTCATATTTATAGGGGAAAGGGGAAGGGTGCCCTCCACCCTAATGGGCCAAACGGGCCGATGCCGGGCCTAATGGCCAAAGTGGGCCAGAATGGGCCGAAATGGACCTAGCTGCTCGGGCTCCGTACTGGATAATGTCTTGGGCCCCTGAACAGTAATAGGCCGGGATAATATATCCCAACAAGTTGTTTGATTAGTCAAATAAGTTAATAATAATGTTTGATAAATGGATTTTAAAATTAGCTTGTTAAGTTTGAAAAGTTGAAAAAATGGATGGTTGAAGAAGCTAGGGGGCATCTTCTTCATTCGTCTGGTTCAATTTACACTCTATCAGGCATTTCGAAACAACCAATTTTATCAAACAGTTTTTTATAATCAGCTAACATAACCAGCCGGTCAAAACAACTAACACAACCAGCTATTAGGAAACAGCTGACACAACCAGCTAACTAACATCCATTTATGCCTTTGTGTTCCAGACCTAACTTCTTTCATATTTAATTACTGACTTCTCCCATTATAAAGTTTTATACGTGTATTTCATATGTTGAATCACTTGAATGGTACCATACCACTACCATAAATGTGAGATCTAATTTGTGGCAACTGTCCACATTATTTTTTACTTCCTCCCCCGATTTTTTATTTTTAATGAGCTTTACACTTTCCTTTTTTAAGATTATCATATTAAATTTTACACTTCTTTATTTGTCTTACAAATCTAGACCAAACAATGCAAAACAATGTCAAACAGTGTAATCTACGATAAAGTCAAATTTATTTCTTTAATATTTGTGAAGTCAAAGTGTCAAGTTCATTAAGAACTGGAAGGAGATTTAATTTAGAGAGGGCAATTGTTACACGATGCGCAAAGGTGGAAATGTTTATATGAATAAAAATTAAATGTGACTAATTGGGAAACTGTCAAATAAGTCCACATATTTTTACCAAAAAGTTAATTGAGTCCACATATTTTTAAATGAATCGATTTAGTGTCAAAAAATACCAAATCGGCCATTTTACAGGTTTCCGGTTCTACCGCTTATGTGGATCGTCCAGCTAGACTGTTTTTACTGTTTTCTACTAGACAAAGTACCCGTGCGATGCACGGAGTACATCTAGAGTGGAATAATAACTTGTTTGAAATTGCATTCTATTATGGAGTATGATAATGGTATGTAATGAGCAATAATTTTCTAAATAAAAAGGGGAAGAGGCCAATTATCACTTAAATCCTTATACTTTTTTTTTACTCCAGGGGGTCTGGGGGAGGGGGTTGGGGGGCCTAGAGTGCCTAACGGGTTTTGAACTCGAGGCCTTTCGTTAGACACGGTAACCTCACAGCCAGCTGAGCTGGAATGCTTGGTTACTTAAATCCTTATACTAAAAAAATACTTCTTCCGTCCCACTAAGATTGTCTCATTTTACCTTTTCAAAAAATCTCACTAATATTGTCTCATATCAAATTTGATAAAGATTATGTGGTTCTAAATCATATTTACTTTATTCTTACTTTATCAATTCAATATCAATCACATAAATTTACTTTTGTTAATAATCGTGTCACCCTTCTTGTCCTAATGATAGCGAAGGAATGTAGTACTACGTATCATATAAATATGCTTACATTAAAAAAATGATCAATCTAGCATTTAACAGATTTCTGACCTGTAATAGCGCGTTTTTATATTAAAAACTTGTTAGCATTTGAAGAACTATAAATAAAAGTTGTGTACATTTTAAGAATGTGAAAAATATGTTTTTTTGAATTTTTGGAACTATTTGTATGTTCTACATCTTTTTAAAATTTATTTTTTAAATTTTTTAGTTCTTACACTTTGACTGTACTTTTCCCCTTTTTCTATTGTTTATTTTAACTTGTTTAAATTACCTATCTGGTTTTGAAATAATACTGTTTTTATATCATTCCTACAATGTTTTTCAAACTTATATTGATTTTTATATGATTAATCAATTATTTTATCTTTTTAATAGCCTACTAAAGCAAGTTAAAATTCTTTGATTGATTGTATTTTGAAAGTAAACATACTTATATAACAGGGAAATTGCTTTAAATAGGAATAACAAAGTTTTTGAATTCCAAAAAGAAAAAAATTGTGAATTAAAAGAATGTCATATTTTTGTTCCCTAAATAGTAGGAACTCCTACTGCCATGTTTTGGCATTATTAGATTTTAAGAGTCCTTTTGGTCACTCGTATTTTCGGCTTATCATTTTTATCAACTAATTTTTTACCAAACACGTAACTTTTCATTTCACATGCTGAATTGTGTAATAACCATTTTAAGTAATATTAGAGCTATTTTTCTTCCTTAATGGGCTGAAATTAATGTAGAAGCTGGTTTTATCCATTTTCATATAACTTTTTCTTCTTTCATTAGTAAAAAATATTTTAAATATAATCTTTTCGTATTTCTGTAGATTCAACCAACTCAGCCATTTCAGTTAGAATCTCATCAATTTTTCATGACCAGAGCGCCGTCCAGCCACCTCGTTTTGACTCTTGAGGTAGTTCCTAGTGCTATTTTTTGTTAAATGTTTTCGAGCATGTTCCACCTGAAGTGTAGATGATGTCCACAAAAATTTGAGCAAAAAATTCAATCAGAAAGGCAATCAAATAATTTTTGAAAAATAAGTGCGTTTTTTTGTATGTATATTTGGCAATATGTAATGTCTTATATGTAACCAATATATATGTATATAGTAGGAGTAAACACGTATATGGCAATATTAATTAATAATAATTCTTCATCTGATAGTATATATGCAATGTTCTATATATGGTAAATAGAAGATGTTGACGTACACTTTAAAAAAATGTTGACGTACACCTTCACATTGCCATAAACATGTGGCACATGGTCAATAAATTATGACATATATGTCCTCCGTATATAACTGTGAAGTTAGTTTTGTTTATTTCCAAAAATAGTGTATGAAAAATATGTAAGGAGTGTTAATGTGTATGCATCATGCATACCGTATTTTCTAATTTTGTAAAAAATGCTCAAATCTTACCATATTTTCATTCTTTCAATGATGCAATATTTGGCCAACCGAGATTTCATTTTTATTCACATTGATTTCTCATTATGCATTTAATTAATTTGGGCGGGAATTTTCCCTGCAATAGGTGTAGCAAGACTGTTACTTTATATTATATAAAGATTTTTTTTTTCTTTCTTTCGTTCTCCCATTTCTCTTTCTTTGTCTCTGTTTCAGGCTCCTCCTCCCGCATCACAGACTCACGGCCATCCCCTAACACTTCTCCTCTAACAGTCTAACCTTTCTATCTCCCACCTTTCTTTCTTCCTAACCCCACACCAGAATGGATTTTCGAGCGCCCAACTTCCTCTACGCCCGGTGAGGTTCAGGACTCAGGAGGCGTCCAAGCCGCTGCAACAATTACCCAATCTCATCACGTCCCTCCCATGCCAGGCTTCTGCTTCGTCAGGAGATCTTCAAGACACTGCAGTTACTCCGTGCTCGCATCAAAATCTCTAATTTCGAATCTCGTGGAAGAATAAATAAGAAAGTGTAAATTTGTAGTGAATGGATGGGTGGAAAAAGAGAGAAGATGGGGGAGAAGTTTAGTGGAAACGGTGGCTGGAAGCAGGGACGGAGCCAAGAACCAATGTTAGTGTCAATTTAACAAAGCACTATTTTTTATGCAGAATACTACTATGTATTATATAATAGTCTATACACATATAAAGCAAAAAAAGTAATATTGTTATTGATAAATTAAAGTACTAATGCACAACTGTCCACGGCTGTACAAATTAGCCCTCGAACTAACTTAAAAAGTGCAAATCACCCCTTATGTAGGAGGCTATGTCCGGCCGTCGCCATTTGGGGCGGTTCCCAGTGGATTTTTTTGATGAAACTTTTTCAACATCTTCTTCATTAAGTCTAGTTTACTCATACCAAATTTCAGCTAAAAATTCAATCAGGAAAGCAGTAAAATGATTTTTTGAATATAACTGCACAGTTAAAGAGCACAGTATATTTCAGAAACTTATTATAATGTCATTTTGAATATCATGAACAGACATCTTCAAATTTTTGGGAGCATTATTCAAAGCAACATTATGAATGTCTTCATTATGATTTGGTAGAAAAGTTAAGAGTTCAGAAAAAATCCCTTGGTTACTTGACTCTTCTGATTCATCACAAGCTCGAAATGCTAACCCTTGACACAAGAGGAACTGAATACAATCAATGGAAACAGTTAATCTAGTACGATATTCAGTTCAAGTTTGATTTATCTGTTTAATCAAATTGATTGAATTGGTTGGTTTTGATTCATCAAACACTCAACTTTTTTCACAGTTTCATTGTGAGCAGAGGTCTTACATGAATATTAAATCTCTCTTTCTTGTTCCAATGAGAAAAATCCTCCGTTATAAATGCCTCACCACCACTTTGTTTTCCCACGTCTTGTCTAAAAAGATAACAATGTAAGCAATATGCCGCATCTTTCGATATACTATATTCTAACCAATTCCCATAATCATCAAACCACTTTCGGTTAAACCGACACAAAACATTGCCTATGTTTTTTTGGGGAAGTATGGTTGCATGGTTGACATGGGCCATTATGTAAATATTTTCTTCGTACCTTATCTCGATCATCCGGATGATAATTAGAAATTCTTTTTCGTTGTCCGGGATCTAACAGAAGCGCTTCTAAATCAACTTCAACACGAGCTCTCTTAGAATGTTGTAATTGTTGTTCACTAGATTTTCCACATCCTTTTGGAGCGGTGTCAATTTATAATTTATGAAACATTACATACACCTATACAAAGAATTTTTATTTTTCAGTGGTGTCAACTTTAGAAATTTGAAAATTTTTATATACCTACATATGGGAGGGATTCAGTGGTGTCAATTGACACCACACCTCCCTTGTTGGTTCCGTCCCTTGGAAGAAGAAAGAAAGAGAAGAAAGGAAATGGAGGAAACGGAGGAGTTACTTGCAGTGGGATGATGCTCTGGAATGGGAAAGGGGTTGGAGAAAAAACAAAAGAGAAGAAAGAAAAAAGAAAGAGAGAGAAAATAAGTAAAAAAAAAAGTAAAATAAAAAAACACTTGGACATTCCACATAGGCAGTCAACCGGGAAACCGGTTGATTACCCATGAAATAGTCAATTATGTTTTTTTAACCAGTTCACGGTCTTAATTGATTCATTTAAAACTATGTGGACTCAATTGATTTTTTTCATGAAAGTACATGGACTTATTTGAAAGTTTTCCCTGACTAATTAGATAATAAAATTGATAATTATAATATAATGTTACTATAGATTTTTATGTGGTTTTCAGACATATATGTCATTGTTTATGTGAAACATGTTATTGTAACCATCGAATTGAGATGTACAACTTTTTCTAACGAGCTTTAAAAACTGAAAAATGAAAAGAAAAAATCATTAACATTTTAAGTGACTTTTCCAGCAGCGCTTTCCAATGGCAGTTTGAGGGGATGGTTGGGCAGGTGTGGGCAGGGGCGGATCTATAGTATATTTAGTGTAAGCATTGGCTACACCTCAAATATTGTTACTAGCTAACATGGTAGTAGAGTGAAATATTAAACTCCCCTTAGGCTTCAGGTCAAGAGTTCGAATCTGTGTAAGGCTTCAGGTGGTTTATTTTTATTTTTTGGAGTACTTTTCCCATGCCATTTTAATTTCTTGAGAGTGGGATTTTAAGATATGCCCCGCGTATATGAAGATTTAGTACTACACTACTACTCAGTATTGTATTATTAAATTCTAAATAATCAAAATTACAAAGTCTAACCCATTTCAACTCCGTATGCGCTTAGCTCTCTCATTTCTAGTAGTTCTGGATGATTCTTTTCTAGGCTCCAGTTTAGGTTTTTTGTAAGCCTTATTAGTTACGTAGTACGAGTACTAGACTACAAGGTAATAATTATATATTGTTATTATTGTTTCATTTGTTTAAATCATTATTATTACTAATAACAAAAAACTCTGTTTGAGAAGTTGCAAACGATTAGTTGGTCGGACCAGAGGCCAGAGCTGCAATAGATTTGTACTTCGTATTAGATATCACATACTTCCTTCGTCCCATTTAAATCTTTACACGTTACCTTTTGGAACGTCTCATTTACTCTTTTGCTTTTTTTAGGAGTTAGATTAAATGTCCTAACTACCCTTCACTACCTACCCACATTTTACATTTGGGTCGATAACATTAATTTCTCCCAAAAGTCAAAGGGCATGCAAGACATTTGTTCTGCTATTAATTGAGCTCCTAAAATATCGTGCCAAAAGTAAACGTCAAGTTCTATCCGAGACGAAGGGAGTACTATATTAATATTATAATGTTCATATTAATATGTGCATACACCGAGCTCCGATGCCTAGATCCGCCACTGGGTGTGGGGTGGGTCAGGGACAAGGATTGAATATAAATTACAATAAGTAAAAAATTGGATTTACTAAACAAATACTACGTAAAAATTAGACATTTTTTTGGTATTTCAAAAGCCTTGAAGTAATTTTTTGTCCATTTTTTGTCAAGAAAGATCAACGATGACATGTTAAGGTGATCAACTATGAATTCCGTCAATTTCCTTTAATTATTATGAGGTGCCAAACATGAATAAAGTTGACTTGAAATTGGGTGTAAGGATGGCAATTGCACTCGCACTCCGAACGCTATTTTAAGCTAAACCAAGTACAAGAGACTGACAAGGTGGAGGTAGTCTTGATCGCCATAGCCGATAAGGCTCTCAACTGGTACCAATGGTGGGATGAACAAACACCTGACCATTCTTGTGTTAACTTCAAAGAGGCTTTGATCCGGCGTTTTCAACCCGATTTAGTACAGAACCCGTTTGATCATATGCTCAGTATTAGGCAAACTGATTCAGTAATGAAGTACCGGGATCACTTTGAAATGATTGTAGCTCCTGTCAAACTTGTTGACCAAGAGATGCTAAAGGGAGTGTTTCTCAATGGCCTTAATAAAGAAATTAGCACAGGGCTAAAGTTGTACCAGAGACCAGTGGGATAACTGAATTGATGGACACAACTTTGACGTTGGAGAAGAAGAACATGGTGTGGAAAGGAGAACAAAATAAATAAGAAGAAAAAAAGGCTCGAAGGAACATTGAGGGAAAATGGTTAGACCCTTGAATTGGGTGGAAGGAGCAAATGGAAGAATACCTGCCGTGACTCCCGAGAACAAATTGGAGGAATCACCAAAAGAAGTAAGATTTGGGAGGGAGGTCAGAGATTGACACAGACAGAGCAATAAGAAAGAAGTATAAAGAGTCTGTGTTTCAAATGTGGAGATAAATGGGGTAAAGAACATGTTTGTGGAATGAAACATTATCAATTCATCTTGTTGGAAGGATCAGAAGAAGAACAGGGAACAAGTGATCAGCAACCTGAACGGGATGTAGCAGATGACCTGCTCAAACGGTCAGTTTCTTATTATCCACCTTGAGGACAAGGTGGTAGTCCAAGGGGGAGTGATGTTAGGAACCTGGACACTACCAATAATTTGAGTCTATTAAGTATTTTAATGGTGTTCAATAATAGGGTTCTAGGCCCAATAATTTAAGTGAGGGTCAGCCCTTTTATGAGAGTATTGTTATAAAAGGGGGGTAGGGGGAGACTAACGCAAGCAGATTTTGGGATCGGGACTGGGAATTTAGGAGTGTGAGACCACTCAAAGAGTCTCAACCTTTTCTTACATTATTTTCTGTATTCTAGCCTTAAATCTTCATTAATATACTACATTATCTACTGGACTTCTATTGTTACCAATCAGATTTTTTTTGTTGAAATTTGATATGGATAAACTAGACTTAATGAAGAACATTTCAAACAATTTTATCAAAAAATTCCATCGGAAAGAGCCTGAAACACACTCGTCCGGATGGCAGTCCCCGTCAGACCAACTGGACATGAAGATTTGTCCCCAAATGAGTACTTTTAAGATAGTAAAAGTACTTTTACGGCTCACTATTCAATGAAGATTTTTTATGCTCAATAGGTTTTGAAAATTTTATACTCAATTCCAGAGTTTCAATGTTTAATAGAGGAAAGTTGATGCTCAATGAAAATGTTTTGATGCTCAATGAAATGTCTTGATGCATATTTCAAAAGTTTAATATGAAATCAAATTCATATATTGGAATCCATAGGAGTCTATTATAGATACAATTTAAAAAATTCATAAAAAAAAAAATAAGAAAAATTAAGTGAATAAGAAGTTAAGAAGTACGTAGTAATACTCAACACAATAGGTTTGATGCTCATTAAAATTTCATTAATACTCATTTAACTGAAACCATTATTTTCACCTCAATAGAGGAGGTTTGATACTCAATGAAAATCGTTATGTTAAACTAACAAACCTTACGATTATCAATGTGTATTTCAAAAATATCATATTACATTAAATTCGCATAATGAAATACATTGGAGTGTATTATAGATATAGATTAATAAGTTTTTATAAAAGAAAGAATAGGAGAAAAAATGGAATTAGAAAACTTGAAGCAGAGATCGTGATCCTTATTGTTAGTCTCCTAATATTTATTAAAATAGATCAGATGCTAACAAAAAGTACACCGAAAAAAGTTACTAATACTCATTTAGCAGAAACCAATGTTTTTTCGCTTAAATTACGAAAATGACATCGAAAAATCTGGAATGCACAATTAATGGGCTATATTCGTCTATTGGGTAGGGCCCTGCAAAACCACTCTCTTATACGGAGTATTGAAATTCAATTTTATGTTTTTTTTTGCGGGAAAAAAACTTATTTTGCAGCAATGGCGGACTCCATTTGGTCCGGCTAGGCCGTTTTGTGCAATGAATTTTCCTACTTAATATCCTTCCTCACTGCCAGTTTTTTTTTTTGGCAAACCTCGCTGCCAGTTATCATTTCAAAAGAAAATGGTCGACTCTCAGTCCAATTCAAAGATTTTCAGCGTTCGGATCGTGTCGATGGACTACTACATGGCGCCTCCTATCCCCGGCCTAGACATTTGCTACAGCAGTTTCCACGGTCATTACTTCGACCCAAGTTAAAGAAATTACTCCGTATTATGGTAGTAGAGTGAAAATAATTGGGAATGATGATTTTACTTAATAGCAATTGACCGCAGGATTTGTTTGATTTGAACTAGGAGTTGTTTGAATTATTGCCAGGCTTTATTTTTGGGTGTTTCTCAAATGCTGCGCAGGTGGGAAAGTGAACGAGGTACCTGTTATACGAGTCTATGGGTCAACTCCGGCTGGTCAAAAGGCTTGCTTGCATATTCATGGAGTAAGCTGCTTAGCACATGTGTGCTTAAATTGTTTCCATCGTTTTTATACATTTAATTTTCTTCATGAATTAGGATGCCATTGATGAGGTTGCAGAGTACCACCAACAATACCTAGTCAAAGATGAAAAGATTACAGCTTTGGACATCAAAAGAGAACAACTCCTAATGCAACCTTGAATCTCCCCCTTCCCCTAAAAAAGCAACATAAGATAGGCCTTATATCACCTCTACGGCTCTACCACCACCAAAAATGTCTTTGAATCTGTTCAGATATGCCTTTTGGCCTTCAAAACAATATCTGTTTCATTCCCACACCTATTTTATTCAAGTCACATATGCCAGAAGCTAAATAAGTCATCTATTTCTTATCATTTGTTGACATGATACTTTGGTTTTGGGGTAAGAACAACTTTGCTAAGAACAACTTTGCAAATCATGAGTTAAAACTTTCAAAGAACGACTTTTCATTTTTCACCTTCGGGACTAGAATGTTATCCACCCGTGTATGAGATCATGAAATAGTTCCAAAGTTCCCTCAATCTTATCTCAAACTTAAATCTTTACTTTCCCTTTTTCCTCATATGCCTCCACAGCTGAATCCAAAAATCTAAAATGATTGGAAATGCTCAATAAATGCTCGAATACCAGCAAAATAAGTCTTAAAACGTGTTAAGCATGTGCACGCATAAGGTTAGATGAGTGGATAAATCATAGTTTATAATAAGCATCTAGAAGAATATAGAAATACATCGATGTATATTATGTAAAGTTCTTGCAAACTAATGGCTGAATTCCTGCAGACTCTGCCTTATTTCTATGTTCCATGCTCAGATCTCTTCCTTCAATCAGATAAAAGAGGTATTACATTTAGGTTATGCAATGACAACTATCTAAAAGGCTTATTGTTGTGCTTATAAGTTATTCTTCGGCTTCTGTTAGAACAACACCAAATATTGGTGAATCATGGTGAATATAAGGGGCAAATATTTTTTTTAATATTCTCTTTGTATGAATGGGAAGGGACATAGTGCCCCTAAAATGACTGATGAATTGAAAATACTGAGATAAATGTACCTATAAAAACCCGCTCGTATCATGTTACTAGAAATTAACATGATCAAATTGAGGTGCAATTCATACGTATTCATGAAAAAATTGAGAAAGTATAATTTAAGAAGGTTTAAACATCTTTAATGTAGATTAATGGTTTCCTTAAGTAGGACTTTATGAGAGATACAACCGTAATACTGTGAGGTAGACGAGATGTTGCAATGAAGCTTATATGGGGTTGGACTTGTTAAACAAAAGTATTAGTCTAGGGGATAAATATCAGCTTATTGTAGAGAAAGTTGAATGCAGCAATGAAATCCATGTAGCTGACCCCAATAAGAGCTTTAGTACCACTGAATTGAGCTGATGAATTCACAAGTTTATATTTCTTAGACACAATCATCAACATATTGCAATTCAATTTAGTTTTCCACTTCAGTATCCAATAGACTACCATGATAGGAGTATAGGACTGATCTCTATGATAATATAATAAATGTAGATAAGTATGTGAAGCTTGCTTCGGTGTATTTAGTTTTTTTATCCCTAACATTCAGTCTGTGTCACACCATCACCTACTACAAGATTTTGCAGGTCAAGAATGCATAAATAGCATATCCCACGCTCTTGACGAGGCACTGAAGGTATTTCTATTTCAAGTGGGGTGTGTTTTGACAGCTATTTAAGATGTTATTGATGTGTAATTGTTGTTGATACAAATCTTCACTATTTGATTTCTTAATTCATATAGCTTAAAGGCAGTATGGCCTCAAATCGTCAGCATGTGCACTGTTGCAGTCTAGTCAGGGCAAACAAGTTATATGGTTATCATTCTTCAGAGGAGCTATTTGTGAAAATTTATCTGTATCCCTAGTTAGACATCTTACCATTAATCTTTTCATTTACCGTGCACTCAATTTTCATTAATAATAGAAAGTAAAAGACAAATATGTTAAGATTTGGGGTTCCATTTTAAAAGATTAACTTGAAAGAAAGAGTTTCGACAAAAAAACACTTGAAAGAAAGAGTAGTGTAATGTTTTGGTTGTTTGTTATTCTATTTTCTGTCAATGTGAAAATAGATCATGTATGGACCATGTAATTTCTCTCTCTCATAGGATTACTCACTCGCCGGAGACTGATATCTTGTATGGTCTAGTGTATACTCCCTCCGTCCCTTACAATTTTGCCAACTTTCCTTTTTTGGATGTCCCATTAACTTTGCCACTTTCTCTTTTAAGTAAAGAATTTGTGGTTCCAGTTAATTCTCTCTCCTCTGCACAAACCTGAACCACACAATTTTTATTTTATTAATCCCCGTGCCGGTCAAACTTGGAAAAGTTATTAGGGACGGAGGGAGTAATATATTGGGAAAAGTACGGAAAAGATCCTTGTGGTTGGGCCCATTTTCAGATTGGGTCATGTGTTTCATTCTTTATCAAAGTGGTTCATGTGTTTGAATTCCGTTATCACAAGAGGGTCACGCCGTTAAAAACTTCTGAAAAAGACCGTTAAAAGTAATTTCGATTTTCAAAAATGCCCGAATATTAAAAGAAAAATACCGAAAGGTGTTCCTCAATAAGACGACCGCTAGGCCATCTTTCTTTCTTTTTTGTTTTCAGCTAACCTTGTCACCAGAAAGTCCATCGGAAAAGTGATATTAGCGAATTCATTTTTAAAAAATAATTCAAGCAGGTCTGAAAATTACAAAGGCGAAGGTGGTTTGGAGGTTATCTTGACGAGACGCATCTTTCGGTATTTTTCTTTTAATTTTCCGGACACTTTTGAAAATCGGAGTTACTTTTAACGGTCTTTTTCAGACATTTTTAACAGCGTGACCCTCTTGTGATAACGAAATTCAAACACATGAACCACTTTGATAAAGAATGAAACACATGACCCTATCTAAAAACGGGCCCAACCACAAGTACCTTTTCTGTACTTTTCCCTAATATATTTCTCATGTGGCTCACACTCCTTATTAATTTCAATGTTTGATAGCCACGGTTAGATTGTTTTCTCTTTTGATTATCGGGTTCATTTCCCATTCATCATCATTTGTCAATTTTCTATAGTTCTATTAATATTTTGATAATGCAACTGAACTCCTTAACGGATGCATAAGCTACTATCCACAGGATGTCTCCCGCGCTGCTAATCTTCTTAGGGTACTTTATATAGCTTTGGCTTTTTGTTGTTCTTCTTATTCAATGTTAAACATGCCATTAACTTGTAATAATATGCCAATATTCTCATTTTGGTGTATATTTATATGTGTGACTGTGTGATGTGTGTATGTCATAGAGAGAGGAAAATACTATG